AAGCAGTTTCTGGTGCTAAACTTGGCACAGAGGGTTCATTCAAAGCTTGCTGAGGTCCAAACGGATCCACTCTGTTTTCCAGTTGATTTTGGGTGAAGGATTATGGGGTTGTGAACACTGATGATTTGGGCTTTGATGTAGCTGCAGAGTGATGTAAATTGATAAATATTTGATTTTGAGCAACGTTAACCAATACCTGAATGGTCTGGATTAGTTAATGTCATTTAGTGCATTTAATTTTGGAACAGTTTCCTTTTAAACAGTAAAATCTTTTGTTGTTCAAGATCAATGAAAAGAAAGATAATAAAATACTGCAAATGAACATTGGGTTTTTGAAAGTGCACGGGGTGACAATATGGGAAGAAATGTTGATTTTATTGCTTTTCAATTTAATGAGATGATGGCAAAAGAGATAACTAAGGAACAAATGTAAAGAAACTCTAGTGTGAAACAAATTAAGATTACTGGGATTACTAGAGATCTGAATGAGCTTCTCTAGCGCAATGACAACAGTTCAATTGGTTATGTATGAAAAAGCATTTTAATGGAATGTTTGCAAATGCCCTCTAGCAATTCTAAATAATTTTAAAGATATTTCTAACCTGCAGCTGAAAGGAAGTGTTTTTAACAATTTGGTTATGTGGAGACACCATATCTTTAATCCTGAGCAACGGCAAACTCTTAAAGAATGAAGTCCTTTGTTGAATAGGACATAAGCAAATATGTAATTCTTGCACAGCATTTATCTACAGTACTCCTGCACTTTTAATTATTAAAAAGTTAAACCTATTGATGTGCTAAGGAAAGAGGAAAAAGAAGGGAGGGGAAATGCTGCAATAACATATGAAATAGCAGCTTCTGAATACAAACCATCGATGATTTAACTGCCCAGGTGGCTGGCACCTAGGAGCACCGGGGATGCTAAACGCCTCTTTCCTCCATGGGACGAACCTTAACCATGTGCTTTGCACTGCACCAGCACCCATATGTGAAAAAACAGTTTTAAAACCTCAGCCTGACGGTACTGGGTGTTACTTTTAGTAGTTTCTCTGCCATTTGTGGCCCCATGGTCTCTTCAAAGATCAGTCGGACTTGGAAACAGGACAAAGAACAACACCGGAAGGAAAGTTCCTGTACTTTCCTTCCAGTCCCTGTACACCCCATCTGTAAAGCCCAACCCAGAGCTACGTTCGACTCTTTTATTCAAGTCCTGCCTCTGTATTTTTTTTTTTTTTTTTTTTTAATATATACAGACTCTGACTTCATTCTTTGGAGAAGTCACCCGTCAAGCACGTTTCACAGGAATGGTCATCTCCAAACAGCCCTTCCCCACCAGCTCTGTCCCCAGGGAGCTGCGAGAGGCCCCTCGCCCGCTCCGGCTTTGGGAGGCTCTGCTGAACAGCAGTGTTTTGTTTCCAACCCACAAGAGGCCACACAGACATGCCAGCTTAGAGGCAGCGCTACAGGCTCCCAAGAAGGGATCTGACATTCTCTTTTGTTCTCATTTCTATAGCATTTTCTCCTTCAAGAAGGTTATTTGAAGTAGCTGGTACTGACATTTAGCTAAATGTGAAATATGAATTGGAATAACTGTTCATAGGTAGTGATGCAATGCAGGACAGGATGTCCCACTGGAGGGCCATCGGCCAGAGTATGCGTAATATATGATCCCAGTTTCAAAGCTGGCCTTGCTTTTCTTCCTCACCCACACTAATTAACCCACAAGCCCCAGCAAAGAGATGCTACATTTTACCCCAGAGCAGACTTTTCTAATCCTGTTCTCAACCCCAAGCTAGAGACCTGCCATCTCCCTCTAGCAAAGCAGATACAATTTGCTGAAGAAGAAAGAAAGAGTTGTGTGACCAAAAGAAAGCTTCTGCAAACTCTGTTTTTCTGTTACCATTGCAAAAAATCCCCCCAAATTCCCCAGGTGTAATTAGCTCACTGGGGAAAACAAACAAACATAAAACAGAAAGAAAAAGCTCTTTCCAGGAAAAAAAAAAAAAAAAGTGAATTAGCCTCACAAGCTATCACTAGGCTTCCTGAAGCTCCCCGGGGACAAGAACAGCAGAACTCCCAGGGACGGGCACTCCCCACCATCTCCTTTACATTTACTTGTAAGCGTCCAGTAGCGCTCACTGCTGCAGTTAAGAGCCACTGTCAGTTAGGCCTTCCCATTTTTAACCTCTTTATTTGGGAATGGGATGCCTGGGCTTGTGTTGGAGCACTTCCATGCTCTCCTGGATGCCTCAACGCTGAGACATCCTAGACAAATCCTCAGGGCGCTCACGGATCGACTGCACTGCTCACAGGCAGACACCCAGCTCTCCCAAGAAGCTTCAAGATCCATTTTCCACCTTTCACTCACTTGGCACCTGTGCTTTAAAACCCGCATTGATCAAAAATGCCAAATTTGTGCAACAAGGCTAATAAACCTGAAGGAGTGCCAGACGTTCCACAGGCAGACACACGTCCAGGAGATTTCCTTCAGTGTGACACTGATGCCCTCATACCACTGCATAGGCAGAAAACTCCCCTTCTGGGTGTGCATAAAGCCCTGGCCATTTAAATCAGCCTCTGATATTATGTAACAGAAGACAAAAATTACCAGTGTCTTATGTATTTTAGAGCAGCTTAGGTGCAAAGGAGAGGCTGCAGATCTACTGGGACAAATCAACGTCCATCAAGTCACACCTCCCAGCCCAAAGGCCAACACAAACAAGAAAGTTTCCAAAGCAGAAGCCTTTTTACCCATATTCAAAGGGTCCCTCCCAGCCAATCTCACCGTTCAGGGATTGATCCGCACCCAGCACGTTCCATCCTGGAGGCAGCTTCAGGTGCCGAAACGCCAAGGCCACTTTTTCATCCAGGAACTCCACATCGGCGGCGGGCGGCCTTGAGCGGTCCAAGAACCTGGTGAAGTTCAGGGCTTGTTGGTTGCCAGCACAGCTGGCCAGAAACTGCGCTGCGTCGTAGGCTTCGTCCTGAATAAACTGGAAACTCTCTTCGGCCACAACCAGAAGCGGGCACCCTTCCTTAGAAGCACAAAGTGCCACCTTCACGGTCTCACAGCAGTCATGGCCTGCAAACCAAACCGGAGAAACTGGGGTAAACGGGAGAAGTTGAGCAGGCTGAAGAGGAGCAGGATGGAATAACTGCTCATACGCGCTCGCTTTATGTTGAATCCAACAGCCATGCATTACTGAGTCACAACTGTTACTTAAACGCATACTTAGTAACTTTATATCTGTTAGAGACAAAATATTTTTTGCATATTTAAAGACAGGAAATTCTTTTTTTTTTTTTCTTCTCTTCTTCAACTTACCACAATATAAACCAAGAAATATATAAGCTCTTCTTAGCAGGCCAAACTCTTTTCAGTACGACACAAGGAAACTCAATATTAAGGATGTCAAAGAAAGATTTTCTAATACATAAATGGAAGTTAGGGTCCAAACCTCTAAATTATCCAATTCTTTTTCTCTTCCAGTTACTCAGTGCTCCAGTAACTCGCCCAGAGTCTGAAGGCTGTAAAACTACACACTCCAAATGCTGCCACAGTGCTTGGCTTATACGAAAAACATGGAAATTTCACCTACCACAGAGGACTACGCAAACTAAGCAACAGTAATTGCTACAGGAACATACACTGTGCAAAAGCGTCCTGTGTGTGCAGTCCCATCTCAGGTTCACTGCTGCACCTGGCCTTTGTATTCAGTTTCACGGGACAAACCGAAATTAAGCTTTGTCCATTAAATCAGGGATATTGCCACTTTTCTTACAAAACAAGGAAGCTACTCTCACAGCTTGGTAACTTTAAGCTTATTTAGTTTGAGCAGGGGTGTCGAGCAAAAGGACACCCTAGTATGGCAGCAGTTTCATACACCCCGATACTACACAAACTAAATAAGAATAATGTCAGCAACACCTTTCTGCATTTTTAAAAAAGGAAAAATACACTGTGTGTCCAGCCCGGGCAGTTGTCAGACGTGTCCCCTCAATAACAAGGCCTGTGCTTCAAGTTTGCTGCTCAGAGCAGTTTCTCACTCCTCCTGATGGCTGATGTCACTGCTGCTTTTGCCAGAACAGCACGGACCCCTCACTAATTACTGGAAAAGCCAGGGAAGAGCCTTCTGCCCATGACCTCAGCATCCTACTACATTCAGCAAACCAGCTTCATTGAACACAAAATGACAATTTATTTTTAAAGGCGTGAAAATTCAATATAAGCCCCTATTCGCAGTGAGTGGGAAAGTTTCCTTCTTGTGCTGGGGGCCCTTGCTGTTGTTTTCACTGACAAAAGGAAAGGACGTTTGGCCAAACCTTCCAAAGCTGTTCCAACGCTCTGGGCATTTATATGGTCTTGTCTGCTCAAAGAGACGATGCCGGAGTCATCCAAAAAAGTTACAATTGCTCTTAGGATCCTGTGAGCAGCACCAGGATGATCAGACTATGCTGCACGGCTTCCGAAGGAAAGCAAATGGGGCTGGAAAAGCACCAAAGGTAAGTGCAGAAGGGGAGGACAGAACCCAGCAACGTTGTCTCTGCACCAGCTCACAGCAACAAGGAGGCTGAAAGGTGAGAAAACCTCTTTCCTTCCAAAATCAGTCATTTATTAGAGGATGATGTGAATGCCAAAGGAATAGATGTATTAATACTACAACTAAGAAGGACAGGAAGACCAATTTCTACCACTTTTGGGGGCTGCAGCTAATCCTTGCACACTGTAAACCAAAGGGATTTGGTTTCTGAAGGAGCGAGAGCTTGGGAATGTGGTGCTTATTGTACAAGCTGAGCACGATACCACGGATACAACCGGCAGAGGTAGCGATCTCTGCGCCCCAGACAAAATCTATTCAAAAACTCCATCCATCCTCACAGTCAAAGTCTCAGTCCTTCAAGGGAGAACTGGGGGGAGAACACAGCTTTGGGGGGATTCAGCACTTCCCTCTTCCTACAGCTTTGCTCATCCTCCTGAGGATATCCGGATATGGATCTGATAAGGCTACCAGATTAAAAAAAAGAAAAAAAAATTCACAAAACAGTAAGATCTGTGATGTCTATTAAGAATACAGTTCTTTTTAGCACGAAAATGGACTCAACTGCTGCAATTTTGTCTCTCCCTCTTGCATAGCAGTGAAAGTTCACTAGAATGAGAAAGTTTTAAAAAAGCATAATTAAAAAGTTCTTAATCCAATGAGTAAAACTGAACCTTTGATTGAAGATGTTTTCTCCTTATTCCCACAAGAATCCCATCTGCAAAATAAGCTAGAATACCGCTACTCTGCCTGAAAGCCCTTTGACTTCCAGGATTCAACCTGCAGGCAAACCTGGCCCACGAGGAGTTACAGGAGAATGCAGCATAGTCGCTTCCTTCTCCTTGACATGAGGCCAAGCAATTCCTCCATCTGCGTGACACTAAAGGCTCCTCACTCGCGACAACAACAGGAGAAACTGGTATGTCCAACAAGGAGGAACCACGCTGACCAAGGTCCCCTCGTACCCGTGAGAAATGCTGCACCAAACGTGAGCGGCGACCAATGTGATGCAGTGGGAGATGACAAGCAGGTCATGTTCTGATCTGCAGCCAGCGATGGTTTTCTTGAAACTCCCACAAATACGTAATAGAGTCTTGAAAGAGAAGTGACAGAGCTGATAATTCATTTACATCTAATAGGTTCAAACAAGCATCCTGCTAAACCCAAGGGAATGTTCTTGTAAAGGGCAACCCCTCGCAACGCTTTGATGTTCTCCTTCCCTACATCTGACAAGATGTCAGACTCCGGGGTAAGAGGCTGGGACAGGTTCTGACTTTGGCAACCAGTTCAAAAGAAAGAGGAGCAATTAAGAACCACGGCAAATACTAAAAGATTGCTCAAGAGGTCTCTGCCCCCTGCTTTGAAACAGCTACAGGAACCATGTAAGCAAACATCTCTGAAATACATGAATGCACACACAGCCTTCTGAAGGAATCGTCAGTGGGTCAACACTTCTCTCCACATCAAAGACCCTCGCTTCCTTCCCCTGGACTAATATCTGAACTTCAGCAGTCTTTTTCCAGAGCATGTTAAATAGCTTCAGAGAGAGTGAGCTAAGCTTTTTGGCATTCTCAGGAGATAAGTGGTTATCATCTGTAAAACAAGCCCATATCTGTTTTTATGAGGCAAAGCAACCTGCCCAAGATCACAAAGAGCTCGAGGCAGAGCGAGCATGGATTCCATTACTCTTAATTGTCTCTCTTCTGCTCCAGCTGGTAGAGAGCAGGGGGTTTTCTTATATAGGTTAAGTACCAAACCATGCACCTTGCCAACACAGGCATTGTGGTATGCAACATTTCTCCTGCAGTCACCATGCAATTTTTGCAGCCATCAGAGCACTTACTCATCAACTACTGTACTCCCTTGTACACCTTTCCCAGCCCAGAAGTGGAAAAAAAGAAATAAGATTTGACTCATTCAAAGGTGAAAAGCTGGGTGTGCCAGGAAGAAGGATGGGTCTATTTATAGCCTAGTTATAAAGACATATGTTTTAGAAGGCTGAAAACACACGTGACTGAACAAATCACGTGCACGAGAGCACCGTGAGGAGGGAAGGGAAATACTCTGTCTAGCACCATGAGGTTTGCGAGACTAGAGGACACCCCTCCTCACTGCTTTGGCCAAAACAGCAATAAAAGCAAGTGATAAAATAAGGAAAATCACCATGCTACTATCATCCCAAAACAATCCAATCGGAATTTTAACGCTTCTGACACACATTACAATCTTTCTACCGTTGCAGCTCACTGACTTCTCAGACTGTTGGTAGCAGCTTCCATGCTGTTTTGCTGCCCAGAAAAGCTGTTCAATGTAGATCCGGGCTTCTCTTATTCAGACGGATTTTGTGGCCACAGTATGAAATTAGGTAATTTCTATGCTGGCCTACCTGTGAGAAAAGTGAAATAACCTACCACTTCTTTCTCCCTAAACTGCATTTCAATCCATTTCTCCCTTAATTACTTTTAATTTTGTTTGGAACCAATTCACTGCTTAGAGCTGCTTACGTAACGGAGGAAAAAGCATAGGAATCATGAAATTATTTCAGCCAAGGCAGAGAAGGGTGCAGGAATTGTTGCTGAGAGGGAAAAACTTCTTTGCTATCTCATCTTTACATAAAAACACACTTCAAAACTTGTTTAAAATAAGACAGCTCTTAAACCAGAGAATTCCTTACCAGGTCACTTACTGAAACTTGCTTTGGGCAATACACACACACAGAATAAAAGTCTTGAAACCCTTATTTTGTGTACTCATCCCTGAAGAGATGAGATGCATCACTGTGATACCACTGTCTATCTACTCTCCATGATAATGCTGGAAAACAGTGAGCAGGGAAAAGAAGCTGAAGATTCTGCAGCCGCTGGGAGTTAGCAGACAAGGTAATTCAGAGTTTTAAACCAGGCCATCGAACTCCTACCCATACCTTTGATCTGGGGCATGTCTAGAAGGGTGCCAGCATAGCTCTTAAGCAGACTTTTTATCATTAAACAAGGTGCGCACGGAGACAAAACACTGTTGCCCCTAAACAGAGCTTTCCTAAAGCATGATTTCATTTCCTACAGTCCTCTAAAAGTGGAAATCCTGTCCAAACCTCCTATTTTCAGAATTCACATTTAAGTTTTCAAACAATGGGCCCCAAGCTGGAGCCGCTATTTAAAGCTTGCCTGGAAGCACATGTTTGGGTTTGCCGGGCAGATGACTAAGGACTCCTGGGCTAATTGCATCCTTTGAGCTACCACGACAGGGCTGAGCTTCACCAGCTCTCCTGAAGAGCTCCAAGCGGGAGAGGAAAGCCAGGGAGAGATGTCATGACTTGCACACAACCTCTGGGCTTTGGAACCAAGAGATGTTGCCATCTGGTGGCTTGTTCATAAGGAAGGGATCCTATAAAAGAGATTTTTTTTTTTTCCTGTTTCAGAAATGCAGAATTCTAGTTGTAAAAGTGAAGTGTGTATCTGCAGCATGCAAGCACTTGTGTGAAGACACAGCTATTGCATTCAGCACAGGAGAGCATGCAAGCACTTCACACAGCTATTGCATTCAG